GATGCATGAAGTGAAATTTCTATTCAATTAGCTTTAATTAAAATTCTGTCTTATTAGGTCAATATACATTCATAATTTAGGTATTTTACATATTTTTGACTTAATTTAAGTTAAAATTACATTTTTTTAAATAAATTTGAATTAGAACTTAAGAAAAAAATAAATAAAAATAAATTCAGTATTTTTCTATTTGTTTTCAAAAAACATTTAGCAGAAAACTGGGATCCTATCTCAATACCACTGAAGCTATCACCTATTTGATTTTAAACAATTAATAAAACAGAATTTGTAAATCCAAAAGGACCTGTCAGTAACCATGTCTGTTCCAGCGCATATCATCATTAGAATTTCTTTTAGTATTATGCCTTCAGTACAGGGGCCCGAACAGGGGCCAGGACATGATCTACAGGGCCCCTGGCCCCCATTGGCCCCTGTCTAGAACCTCCCATGATCACACTGCTAAGTAGAATCATCACTGGAATTCGTGTAGCACGTTAGGGAAGCTAGTATTTTTATAAATGTCTGAAGTTTCATGATTACGGAGGCTGACTGTAAGGAGATGACGCTGTCTGCTCATGTGCTCTTTATCTGAGAACCGAGCCAGAACTGAACCGCGCCGAGCCCTACTGATGAACTAGTATCATCTTAGTGCGGTGCAGTTGTGTCTGACTCGGTCCGGTTCAGTTGTGCATCTCATTTACACACAACAGTTATCTCGGTTAGCGTGCTCGGACCGATCTCTACATGGTTTCAAAAAAAAGGTAGTGTAAATGGGGCTTATGTCCAGGTTCTCCCTTGGTTTTCATCTCTGTTATTTTACTCAAACTTAATGACTAATTGCATGTGTGAGAGAAGGAATACAGGAGATTTATATTCACCAGTTATCAGGGGCGGAACTGGATAGGGGGCCAGGGGTGGCCATGGCCACCCTTAGCCAATCATTGGCCACCCCTGTGGCCACCCGTACCATTTATTTCCCTCTAATACAGATGGTGGCTGCAGTAATACCTTTCAAGTGGAATGTTGAGAAAATTTTAACATTTCATATATCAACTATTATTTGGCAAAAAAACACTGTGGTTAATTATACACATCAATATACTTACATTAAAGATGATAAGTACAGAATTCATGCTCTTTGCAGAGCTAAATTTTGTGTTATATGGGTAAAGAAGATTCATCTAGGAGTCTTTAGTGAAATCATAGCATATTCTAATAAACTTATAAAATAATCCATTTATGTATATATTAGTACTTGCAAATATCAGTTTTATGCATAATGATTATTGATAAAGGTAAGTAAGTAGTGACAATGGAAAAGACGTTCACCCCAGAACTCAGGCCTGAAAGAATTTTATCCAATATACCATTTATCTAGAAAGCACGGGTGTATAAATATATGCGTCTATTTGTTAGCAAAGGCTGTGGGAAAGTATAGTTTGTCTTTATTTTTAAAATATGGATGTTTTGCTTGTTAATTTTCCTGTTGCAGTAGTGTAGGTTGACCCTGAGGTTCTGGCGCCTATCCACTTTCTGCCACCCCTCAGTGTACTTTGGTTATTACCTGGCCACCCTTATAGAAATGTTCTGGCTACGTCTCTGCCAGTCATCTCACTGGATTTTAGTGTCTAAATAAAAATCAGACAAACTGGTTTTGATCGGGTGTAGACTTGAGAAGGTCTCGGTTCGAAGACAGGTGCATAATTACTGCTTATTTTAACGTTGGGAAATCTCTGTACCTTTGAAACTAATACAATCCAACAGTTGCCCTCGTAACTCTGACCACGCAGTTCGCCCACTTTGTGTCTCTCCTGGGATTTGTACACAGCACTATTCCAACCATTCTGTCTGCAGCAATGAGCCACTTCTCAGCCTGATGGGGTTTCTGAGCACCTGTTCTCACCTAGCTCTCCATGCTTTTGTGGAACTGCCGTGGGAGTTAATGTGTCCCAGTGTCTGCACCCAACCACTGTCGGCATGCTAATCTCTCTTGGCAGTCATCCGATGTTCTGACCTTGATTTTATTTTTTGTTCATCTCTGCAGTCAACTGCCTTAACCTTGTTTTCATGTCTGCAGTGATGACTGAAAGGAATGTGAGGGTATGACGGCTATATCTAGTTTTTTTTTTTTGGTGTTAAGTCAATGCTAACACTAAAAAACAGATTTATTTGCAAGGGTACCTAAGATCACCCAATCTGTCAAGTATATGGTATTTTTTCACAAGCTGCAATTCAAATAAAAATGGCATTGGTTCTGTTGAGGGTGCAGTGTCCTGGTGATCAGGAGGTTACAGACATTTTAGTCAGTTGTCTACTGATCTGAGCAGCATGGGTGCAGTTAGCTAAATTACTTTTAGCATAAAAGAGTCCTGAATGCTTGGAATAAAAAGTCTAGTGCTAATCAAGTTCAGGCTGTAGATCAGGGGAAACCAATTAAAAATCAGCAGAGTCTGAATAAAGAAAATAAACAACCAGTAAAGGTTCTGAGACATTTTTAATTATAATCTGTTCCGTAAAAATTCAAAAAAATAAAAATAAATAAATATCCACTGGACTTTGTTTCCAAGATTTGAAGACGTTTCGCCACCTCTCCAGAATTAAGCTTCCTGGAGAGGTGGCAAAACGTCTTCAAATCTTGGAAACCGAGTCCAGTGGATATTTTTAATTTTTTTTTATTTTTACGGAATGACTATGACCTGGATGACTGAGAATCTTCAACAGCATATAATCTGTTCCTTTAAACTGATTTTAACACTGAAATAAAAGGCAGGCATTTATGCATCCATGTTCTACATTGGATTTTTAAATAAAAAACATATATAAAAAAAAGAAACCTTTTCCATTTTAAAATCCAAAGTGTTTTTTTTAAGCAGAGAACAACAACAATCATTCAGTTTGGTATATACTGGTGAACTGACCTGATTTGACCGTTTTTTATTTTTATTTTATTTTTTATGAGAGCTTTGGGCTTTAGGCTGCCCTGCAAGGCTTTAAACCTGGGTTTGAATGGAGACAAAGTGATTCTAAAGCTCATATCAAGGAGCTCATTTTGAGCCTGGATCCATATTTATTTTTGATTATGTTCATGGTGGAGAATCAGGTTGAGCCAAACAAACTCAGAATGTTCAGGGTCATCTTTGAGCACGCCATTTCACTTTTCTTTCACCAGTTCACTGCACCTCTTCCAGCAGTCCACACTTTCTCTGCTCTCTCTTTCTCATCGTCTTCTCCTTCTTTCCCGTGGCCCAGCTTGCTACAGGTTTACCTGCTGTGTCTAAAAGTGGCAGCAGCAGCAACCCAGACTGACAGCAGCTCATTGGCTAATTTGTATCATGTGCAACCTGGTGCCGGACATTTGGGAGGGCTTTACCGTATTAACAGGAGAAGCGGCGCAAGTGAAGTTAGACACTGCCTTTGGACAAAATGCAGTAATTAATAAATATTTTAAATCAGGTTTAGACTGGATTGGCCATCAGGAAGGTCCAGATCCGGTCCGCTAATCCGTGACCTCTGGTATATACTATACATTTTGCTCTGTCATTAAAGGTACAGGGGACGATCTTTTATTTCCGGGTGGATCATCTAAATAAGTGGTCCTCCTAACTGTCAATCATTCACCAGAATGATTGACAGTTAGGAGGACGTGCTTGTCCTGTTAGCTATCTTTTTCTCCACATGCACACTTTTAGGCGTATATCCTTAGTGAGCTACGGTTGCAGACAGTCATTGAAGCACACCTTTCTCACCGCTGTTCTTTGAAAGTGGCCGAGGGTCGTAGGAGAAGTGGATGAGCAGAAAAGAAAGGTCTCAGAAGAGGCAGATATATCCCAGAATACTTTGCGCGGGGAGCTCTCCTCGCAAAGCACTATGGGATTTGCTGTCACAGCGACCAACTGTTGCAATAGGCTGTCGCTACCCGACAGCGGTGACTAATAACAAAGATGGAGCAGGCAACTCACGGTGGAGGAGGAGTTATGTGACCAGCGGCCCAAAAAGCAGTCTGAACGAGTTTGCTATAAAGTCCACTATACAGTCTACTGTATGTGGACACAGTCAGCCTGTATGAGCTATGAGAACAGCACATTTTAAACAGGACGTGCACAAGGAGAAATGAGCTCGTGCATTCTCTTGCACTCACATCTTTTAAAAAATAAAAAAAACTCCACAATACCTTAAAGGTCATTGCTAAATGACTTTGAGTATAATTGACATTTTGTCAAGTGCTGCACTGATGCTAACAGTTACTTGATGCTAGTGTTTCAATTAGTGTTGCATCAATGTCATTTTTTTGCCCCGATCTTTGCAGTATCGGCCGATACCGATACCCTCCTTTGAAATTGATGTGTGTGTATTTGAAGAACTGCATACTACTTGGATGTAAAATAATTGCCATCATGACGTTGTCAAGCTGCTGCATACCTCTGTGAAGCAGGAAAAGACTAATACAAAGTGAATCCAGTTTTTATTGCCCAACTGGAATGGGTGACAATAGTTGAATAAACTTTTGGCTCTCAAAATGTTATCGGTGCCCTATTTGTTGGTACTGGCCGATGCCTATACCAGGATTTTAGTGCTGGATCGGGCATCCTCATTTCCTCCTAAATTTTCAAGTTATGATACATGTTTACATTATTTATTGGCTGCATCTAAAAATATCAAAGATTTTTTAAATTTAAACATAGATATGAAATGATACAATATAACCAACAATAACCAGTGATCTCATTGTACTTGGTCATCAAATCAATTCAGTTTAGTCTGTAAAATAATGTCCAGCAGGTGTCAGTATTCTGCGAGACAGTATCAATACAGTTTTGCAGTGTGTTGAAACGCTTCAATGATAACTAATGATGCCTCATTAATTTTCATTATTCTACCTCATTTTAAATTAATCACTACTGTTACCGACTGTGCAGAGATGCTAGCAGTTAGTTGAGGCCAGTGTTGCAATTAGCTGCGTTTAATTACTAGTATTCTTGTCTATTTCCAGTCATCTTTTTTTTCTCTCACTAGACACAAAATATTACATATTTGACTTTATTAGCACTGGTACAGACAAAAATATCTGTTTTTCATTATATTTCATGGCATTATGCTTATAATAAATAAAACCTCAAATATTCACGACAGGAGAAACATAATTTTGTAAATTTTTTTGCCTTGTGAGTCTTTTAATTTTGTCGTCTTTATCAACAGAGAGGAAGGAAGTGCTCTCGTACGCACAAGGCCCCGGAGCCCCATCGTTTGTCCTACGCCGGCTGCAGAAGCACTCGCCTTTACAGGCCCAACTACTGCGGGGTGTGCAGAGACGGCCGTTGCTGCTCCCCTCGTCGCACGCGTACCGCCAACGTGACCTTTGCCTGCCCTGACGGGGACCTGTTCAGTAGATCCGTGATGTTCATCCAGTCCTGCAAATGCAGCGATGAGTGCAACCATCTGAACGAAGCTGCGATGCCCCCACAACTGTGGCTCTTTGGAGACGTTCACAAATTCAAGGACTAGTTGTGTTACCCTCGCCCCGCCTGCATTCCTCTTTAAAAGCATAAATTGCCACCCATTAGTGATACTTTTTATAGAGCAGCTGTTCCTAGTGTAGCTATGAGTAGACGTCAGCAGTGTTCTCATATCGGGAAATCTTTCTGAGAAGGATTTTCTACCATGCTCCAAATGTTCCCTGAACTGTGCCACTTGAGCCAAGGAAAAAGGAGCAAGACCGGAGACAAACTCTTGAGGATGACCATATCTTGCATTATGCTAATCTTATTCTCTTGCAGCGGATTAGACGTAATGAGCTGGTAGAAAGACATTTTAAATTTGATATGAAACATAAGTTAATGTAAGGACTTAAGTAGAGAATTTGAAAAGACTTCAATGGCGATTGCAAGAGGTTGCGTCTTATATTTATTCCTTGATATTTATTCTACAGACAGACATGTTGACACAATGGCAAGCCACTGGGATAAGAGATTTTTTCTTGGAACCTCAACAAACGGCTGTCAGTCACAAGCTGGAGAGGGAGACCGGTCCAGGACAGCGTCAAAGAATGCAGGTGAAGAAGTGCGAAAAACAGACAGCTAAACCCGATGCGTTTAGGGTTTGTAAACAGGAGGAAATATGTCAAAGGTTGTTTATACAGCTGGACCCGTCTCCTGCCTCGCCTTCACAAGAAACTGAGACATTTAGCGAGAACCAGAAGAACAAGCCTGGGATTCTGGCGTCGAGCAGTCGACCACCAAATTCTGTGCAAATTACAATCTCCGAGGAGAAAATCAGCTCCTCTCTGGTTTTGCTATAAAAATAAAAACCTGAAAGCTGCGTGTGTGACGAGGTAAACATACAATTTGTGACTTGCGGGTCGACCGCACTACTGCCTAATATGGCCTGTAATTGAGCGGCACTCTATGTCACAAACAAAACAAGAACTTGTGTCTTTTCGTGTTAAAAAGGTGTCTGTTTCTGAACATTGCTGACTCAACTGTTGAGTCAGAAATAAACTTTCCAATGGGGGCTACACCTTGGAACCTCTTTTAGAGACTGATTCTAGATAGGGGCTGTATAGTCTTTGATTTCTGTAGTGTAGAACTGGAAAACAAAAGCATCCTCTTAAACTCGTTTTGGATTAGTTTGTGCACCTTATGTCAACTTTTATTCAATTGAAGACATGTCCAAGTTTTTCTGTTGCAACACTTCAGATGTCGTCTTATATCCTCTATTTGCTCGTGTAGATACTGTGGTTTTGTCTTGTTTATGGGGACGCAGTGGAGCTGCTGTGTCCAGATGAATTTGTAACTTTGTAGATCTGCTGTATGCGGGCCCCTCATGCTGTTCAGTCGCTTCGTGTGCAGTTTGAAATTAATGAGAATAATGCACCAGTTTGGAGGATATGAGAATTTTTTATCTCATGGAAGGACAGTTTCCCTTTTGGTTGTAAAGTAATAACTTTTTTTTATTTTATTTTTTTGAATAAATAAAGTTTTACCCTTATTGTGTCAAAGTTTGAAATATATGTGTAGTTAGCTATTAAAGGGTTCAACTAATGTCAACTTCTGGATGTAAAATGCTGTGTTGAATATCTATAGTTTTATTATTTTTTGGACATTACACCCAGGCTTTATTACACCGAGCAAAATGTGTCATCCTTTTTTCCAAATATAGTTGAAAACTGCATTAGATGTTAATAAAATAATGTTTTAGTCAGAAATGTCATGATAGTGAAAGGTATTTTCAGATGGTCAGCAGGGATCTTCTGCATTACTCATTTTCTATCTAAAGAAATACTACAGTGTTGATATTTTGGAGAGTTTCCAGGCCAATCAAGCATACAAACATCGGTCCATGGAGCAGCTTTGATAACTTTGGCAGGTACCAAGTCCTTCTGGAGAATGAAGTCAGCACCTACATATAGTGTGTCAGCACAGAGTGCTCCAAAAAGTCTTTTTTAATTGGCTTTGCCAACATTTGGACTTTAGGAAATGTGGACAAAAAGCAGATGGAAGGAACTACAAATCATCACTTGGGATTATGTGCTCTGAATTTTGCTTGAAACCTTTTTACTAAATATTTTTTGTACATTGAAATTTGTGAAAACAAGGCAACCCAGAAAGGAAACTTAAAAACTCAGAAGAAAAGCTACTCTCAAAGCTACATCTAAAAAAAGCTTGAAAAATGTCTACTGAATTCAGAGAATAACTTCTGCATCTAAAATTTCTGACAAATTTGTACCATTAGTTGTGCTTCCAGAATTGTTGTTTTAAATGATAGCTAAACCATGTTTTATTACATATCCTTGTATCTTGTTAGTATGAGCACTGATACATTTGCTTTTGCAAAAAAAAAAGTTGAAAATATCAGAAAGTGCTTTCATACCACCATAATACACATCACCATTGTGGTGCTAGCTAGCATGTGTTTATGGATAGCCAGGTATAACATTACCAATCCTAACAGAGCTGCACATCCCATACTTGTTGCTCTGCACTGCTGATCAGCTGTCTGAAAGGAAGCGTTTTTAATCAAACTAAAACAGCTTGACCTATATTTGAAAAAAAAGGTGTTTTTTTTTCTTAAGTGCAGGATTTGGTAGAGCCAAAGTAATTACCTACTTAGCATACTATAATTTAGAACAACAAATGGGTATAAAATGCAAATATACCGTATGCTTTTTGTGCATCTATATATATATATTCAGCAGAAATCTTATATTGTTATAAATATTTTAAAAAAAGTTTTAAATCTATAATGAAAAGTTTGGTGCTAGCATTGTTTACAGGTGAATTAAAATTAGTCACTGCGGTCATATCTCATTTGTTTGGTTCCGGTTTATTTTCAGTTTTACACACCAAAACATACATAGTGAGAATCAATTTTTTGGTACAGTGCCTCAATACGATACTCTGCTCAAAAGGGGCCATTTCTTCACTAGGACTCAACTTGTTGACTTAATTTATCGAAGGCATTCCATTAGAAACTCAGAACAACAGCTGCCGTGTGAGTCAGTCTGTTTACTCAAATCTTAAGACCGACAGATTACTTTAAACTTTAGAGAAAAATATAAAACCCTACAATACAACTCTAACTAGGGGTAAAGAAAACAAAACGGCTCCAAGTGATTCCTCCAGTCTATTAAGGTTTATCTCCACACTCAAAACAACCCAGAGACAGTTTCATGAGACAAGGATAAAAATGGCATTTTATAAAAAAAATTTTAATCAGGAAAAACAAAAACCAAACCATAAAAGACAAATTAAAATCACAACCCCGCCCCTTCCCGATGAATGACGATAAAAAAAAAAAAAAAAGAGAAAACCCCCCCCCCCCCCCGAAAAAAGAAAAAAAAAAAAAAAAAAAAAAGAGCGAACAAACGTGCAGAGCTTCCAAATCGGTGAAGTACAGCTACTTCAAAATAAAAGACTGGATCCAGGAGGAGGAGACTTCGCTTAGGGCCGAGGAACTCATCTGGACTGTTCAACTAGAAGAGAGAAAAAGGGAACACAGTCAGCAGAGAGTAACTGAACAACAGCTGAGGTCTAAAGTGAGACTTAACAGGAGATCCAGTTACACGACCCCTCGGACTGTTCCCGTAATTATTATCCAAATGGAGACCCTTTTAACGCTCTCACATTGGCTACTTTAAACACCTTAAATCTGTGTTTGGCAGGTATTCGTCATGTAAGAACAACTTACTGTAAGACGAGATGTCGATCTCATCCGGCAGCTCAGCCACGTTGACCTCAAAGCGGTCCTGCACGTCGTTCAGGGTCTTGGCGTCGGTCTCGTCAGACACAAAGGTGATCGCCAGGCCTTTGGTTCCGAACCGACCAGCACGGGCGACCTAAACAGTTCAACAGGTTAAAAACATTAACAGAAGCTAAAAAAAATTTAAAAAACCCATCCTGAAATATTCAAAAGACAAAGATTTCTCACCCTGTGCAAATAGGTGTCAGAATCTTCCGGCATGTCATAGTTGAAGACTATGTTGACTCTCTCGATATCCATCCCTCTGCCAAAGAGGTTGGTCGCCACCAAGATCCGCCTCTGGAAGTCCTTGAACTGCTGGTAGCGTGAGAGCCTGTGAAGACGGTCAATAAAGAGCACAGATCAACGCGGCTGCTAAAAGGAGCGCTGGACGCCATCCTGCTCTGAAGGCAACAACGTGTCGCGGTAGATTAAGGAGCATAAACGCTCTCAGCAAGCCGCGATTCACAGAGCATGTGTTTATTAGAGCGCTGCAGTGGAATGATGAGCTTCATGACGGTCTCACCTTTCCTCCTGAACCATTCCTCTGTGGATGGCGATGGCCGGGAAATTCTGCTCCACCAGAAGCTGAGACAGAGCGATGCATCGCTGCACAGACTTGACGAAGATCACCACCTAGAGGCAGAGCACAGGAACTTACAGACAAGCCACCAGCTTACATACAGTTAAATATAAGCCATCCATGTTGATCAAAGCTTAAACATTTTAGAATATTAAAACAGATCCAGCTGGAAAATTAAATTGTTGGGCCTATTCTTTGAGTACATTATTAGTTCTTTTCAGAAGGCTGCATTGCATTTCTGTCGAGTAATGATGTCTAAGGCTGGCCTGATTCAGAAGAGCAGCATGGAGCTCCTTTCCTGTCCCGGAGAGACATCTGACTGTTGACACAATGCAAGGAGGAGGAAAAGGAGCTCGAATCTGCCTGATTCAGAGACAGGATATCTAAATTTAACTGGTCAGTAGATGGAAGCATGACCTCCACTAAAACGTGCTGCTGGCCGTGTTGATTCTTTAGGAAACGGAGTCGACAAGAACCAGCAGATAAAATAGAACCAAAGATCAAACTCTGGAATCTTTACACTGCATTTTAATCAACGAGGAGTTTGTTTAACTGCTCCATCCCTCATCTCTGGATTCCCGATTTCTAAATAAAAGGCAGAATTTAATTTTATATGTCATCCTACTTAAAGTTAGAGACTTATGGTATAAAATCCTGTTCACAAGTGACCAAGTAACACAGGGAAAGCAACATCTGGAGGTTATATGAAGGATCCATCTGAGAGTTTTTTTTTAATAAGCTTTTCAAAGCTGCAGTTGGCAATCCTGAACATTTTCCTAACTATTTCCTAACTTCTATAACTTCTAAGGAACATTCTGGGGACTAACCAGCTTATTCAGCAATGATCTTAGTGGTGCCCAGTTAATTATAAGTCCCTCTATCAGCTTCCAAATTTAAACCTTTGCACTATTCCATTTTGATAAGTTACATCTTTGAATTTCATTAACTGCAAGTCAAACATCAAAGTAAAATAAAATCACACCACGTGTAATAAATACAACCTAAAATAAATTACCAAAACATTATTTTTCTTAATGTGATTATTTTTATATCTGTACCCATATTTGTTTTAGCATTAAACACCAGGAAAAGAAACATCCGGGAGTGTTTGGTTGGTAGATTTACCTGATTAAACTCCAGGACATCAAGAAGGTCGAAGAGCTTGCGGTTTTTCTCGCTGTCCTTCAGCTTGCAGTAGTACTGCTGCAGGCCATGAAGTGTGAGTTTGGTCTCATCGTCAACAAACACCTCCATCGGCTGCAAGGAAAACACAAAACTTTAATACATTCATGTATTTGGGATGTTATTTGTCAGACAGAAAACAGGCAGCGCAAGACTGCTTGGATGCCCCTCTATAAACTGAACTTTTCAGGTAAAATGGTCCAATAAGATGGAGAGCGCTAGTAAATATTAAATCCCAAAACTTGCTATTTGCCAAACAGATTTAGCTCTTTTTTTAAAGCTTTCTGTTAAACCAGCAACATCTTTTATCCTTTTCATCCTGGTTTCCTTTAGTATTACAGCAGCTCTAGCTTTCTACATTCAAACGTAAAAAAAACAACAATAATAATTATCCCTTGTTAGAGCTCGCTGTCAGTTAGACCTGCTCTTAGGTTTAGTTTTCTACCATTTTATGCTTTAGTGAATTAGCCAATTGAATTAGCTGGCACCATAAGTCTGCTATTCTGGTTTATAACTGCAATGTCTATTGAAATAGAAATGGTCATATAATACCTCTAACTTGGTCACTGCATTGCAATGTTTATTTGTGCTGGTAACCAAACCCAATATGATGTCACTGACTGTTTCTGAATGCTTGAATGATTGTTGACTTTATTATGTTATACGGCATTCTGGGAGATGCAGGAAGAGGAAAGGCTTTAGTCAACCTCACAGCCAAGCTGAGCAAAGGTGGTCGTGAGGCTGATCCGCTTAAATTCAAATTCTGATCATGTTTACATGATACATTCTGAGTCCAATTACTTATGTCCATATAAACAACAGAATCAGATTTGTTTTTCTACTTTCATTCGAACTAGATGGTTTAATTTAGTCAAACTAAACACAGTTGATTATATTAGATCAGTTAAAATCTGAATCTTTATAAGAACTCCTGGATTCAGAGTCTAAATAAAACCCTGATAGGGCAGGTTTCTGGATATTTTTTGTGTGAAACTCAGCCAAAATTATAGAATGCCAAATGGTTTGAACAATTCTGCTGTGAACTATTACACCCAATTTATTAAAGAGATCAGAAAAAAAAGAATGAGTTTTTACTTACATCCTGCATGAATTTGCGGCAGACCGGTCGGATCTCCTTACTCAAGGTTGCGCTGAACATCATGACCTGCTTCTCGTGGGGCGTGATCCTGAAGATGTCCTGCACGTCACGCCTCATGTCTGCAGACATAAAAAAAAAAATCATTATAAATAGTCAAACATTAAACACGCACAAACTCCACATCAGTTCTCTGGGCTCTAAAGTCTCGGCTTACCCAGCTGGTCCAACATCTTGTCGCACTCATCCAGGACGAAATGTTTAACATTTTTCAGACTTAGGGTCTTGTTGCGGATGAGAGCGAGGATGCGACCGGGCGTTCCCACGACGATGTGAGGGCAGTTCTTCTTTAGGGTTTCCTCGTCCTTCTTGATGGGCATGCCTCCAAAGAACACGGCACACTTCACAGTGGGCATGTACTTGGAGAAACGCTCGTACTCTTTGCTGATCTGGAAGGCCAGCTCTCTTATGTGGCACATGACTAATACAGATACCTGGAGATAGATTGGGGGAAAAGAAAGGAATTTGAACAATGTTCCCCTCACAGATAGCTGGAAACAACAACTAGAAGAAGAAAAAAACACACCAACAGTTTAAATGGTCTATAGACATATCTAGGTCCGTATCCTCCACCAAAAACAAGATGCAATGAAAATGACTCCCCAAAGGGAAAAAGAAAACTTAAGTGGCACAGAAGCCACCTAAGCTGCTTTAAATCGAGCAGAAAACAATCATTTAATTCCAGTTCTGGTCAGCTACAACAAATACACCCACCTGCCCATCAACAGGTTCAATCTGCTGCAGCGTGGCCAAGACAAACACAGCCGTCTTGCCCATACCAGACTTAGCTTGGCACAGGATGTCCATGCCGAGGATGGCCTGCGGGATGCATTCATGCTGGACTGAAAGCAGAAAGATCAAAATAATTAACCAGAAATCCCAAAAGCCTATAATAAAAAAAGACACTAAATAGTTAAAGAGACTGAAGAAAATGTTTGTATCTCCTGAAGAATTACCATTACTAATCATTACAAAAATTTATATTTATCTCAGGTGTGACAAACAAGCTTGGCGAGAATCACCGCTCCTATGAAATGCGAGGGTGTGTAATTTTAAATATGCTGTAGAGCTCTGCGACATGAGTCACAGCCATTAGATGGCCATCCTTTACCGACTGAAGCAGAGCTAAACAGGCCATCTGTGAACCCTTTCCAATAAACACTGTGGGTGACCCACTGGGTTTGTTAGCAACATGATCTTCCATTACATCCATTTCAATCTTTATGTACGGCTAATTAGACATGACAAAAGTCTAAACAAGTGAAAGCCCATTCATCAGTCCACCTGCCTTGTTTCTGGAAAATAATCATTAGGCCACAAGAGCCTGTTGAAAGTGTTTGCAGGGGGATTGCTGTTCTTTTTGTCTCATTTGTTTTCCCTTCTAGTTTTGAAACTGTATACTATTCCCCATCAAGGACACAGTGAGATTAATTTCTCTCCTTATCACAAACTACCCCATGTCTGTAATAGTCTTCTAACTCAAGGGCAGGACTTTTTAATGCTTCCCTCCCATGTACGTTTGTTGTGTTGTATCTCTTGAATGGTTCGTTCTGGAACAAACTCTGATCAGCTTATTCTGATTCTTCTTAATCGACCAGGGAATAAGTCACCAAGTTCTTATCAAATACAGCATCACAAATGGGTTAAAAGTAGAATTGATATGAATATGAACGCTTAGAAAACAGCAGAATTAAGTTTCTGGCACCATATTGTCAGTCTATTGCAGGGTTTATACAGGAATGAGTAACTCTGATTTAATGCTTTTTAATGATCTTAGAAATAATTTTAATGCCATCAGCAAGTTCCCAGAACACTCTATGAAATATATAACCATGTCCCGAATTCCCTTTTCCAGTTACTTTTGTTGAAATGTGCCATTTCCCATTATCTAGCCTTTTCTCTGCCTCCAGCCTCTTTTCCGAACATACCGGAAGCAGTTCCACGCAAACATATTGCGATATAACATATCTAACAAAAATTTTTTTAGGAACCTTTTTTTATTTTTATTTTAAGGCAAATTAATGCCTTAATTTAAAACATGATATTTTTATTACTTATAATGACATGCGGAAAGCCTTTATTGAGCACCTACTGTATACTCCTGACTGCCGTAAAGACGCTATTCAACCAGACACCAACACCCTAGACTTACTTACACAGACGTGGTCGTTTTGTATACACAGATTGTATATAAAACTAATTTCAGGTAGTACCTAATGAGGAGATTAACACAGTGGAGATGTGTGTGTGTATATATATACTATAGTATTTATCAAGTAATTGTGTGAAAATTTTCAAGCAGTTTGGAAACTATACCTTTCTCCCCTGATTGTTCATCAATAAACAGATTTCAGTGACTGTATGAGCCTCACCTTCAGATGGATGCTCAAAACCACAGTCTATGATGGCGCGAAGCAGTTCTGGTTTCAGAAGAAAATCCCTGAAGCCGGAGCTGTGGATGGAAACGTAGGATCCCTTCACCTCCTTCTTCCCTGTGGGAGCTGCACTCTCAGGGGCTCCTTGTGGCTCCTCATCCTCTTCATAATCGAGCAGCTCATTTTCGTCATTCTCAGCCATTATAGATGTGTTTTCGAGTTTCTCTATAAAAAAAGGAAATAAATGTATTAGTGATAGAAAGTTTAACAGCTTTATATCAAATATATAAATGTTATGATCCAATCAAGGTCTATATTCCCCAGTGATTAAGGAGAAACAAACTTTGCAGTTTTTTTTGTTGTATTGTCTAAGATACAAACACTGATAAAAACACACTGGATCAAACTCACCAGCCATATGATATTTAACTAACAGCATGTAGACAAAAAAGGCACAAAAAGCCTACTTCACACTGTATCAGCACATAAACAGATAGACAAAATAGGTCATGCAGCGCGTCGATTTGGTAAAACCTGCTAGCTTAGGAGAGCTAACCGCTACTGAAAGCCCATTGTGTTGCATAAGCGCTACAAACGTTTAGTTTCTTACCTTTTAGAGAAAACTTCGTCTCACTATTAACTGATAACTAAAGAAATAATCAAATTATCCAAATCTAATAGTAAGCACGTACTAGATTAGCAAATAAAACAACATAAATGGCAAAATACCAGGGAAGCTAAGCTAAGACGCTAAGCTACAACTGTCTAGCTTCAACGTCCGGGTTACGGCAACAACAGTTTCGAATTAAACACGGGCTGCTTTCTGTCGAAATATAAACAAATACCTAAAACGAAACTTTGAAATTAAACTACCACATTTAACAAAACAAAATGTAACATTTTTTTCTCAAAATGAAGCTCGTACCTGCACGACGTTAGCTCTCAAACTGCCGGATCCAAACCGCATGGAGAGGCCTCGCTCGGTTTATACAGGGAACCGGAAGTTCCGCCTACAGTGATGAAAAGCTTAATACCATTGGTTGGTTTATCTAAATGCGAGCAGTGATTGGAGGAAAGGTGCCTCGCTGTCTGAAAAAGCGGGATCGAGCTGCATTATATCTTCGTTGTAAGGAAGCTCGTAAGGGTCAAAAAGATTAATTACAGTAATTCGAACTAGAAACGTTAATGCTTCAGATATAAATATTGTTAAGGGAATTATTTATCCTGGAAAACTGAAAAATTCAAGTAAACGGTTTTCACATATGATTAAAAAGATTTAAATCTACCTCTATTCCCAATTCTTGTGTTGGCTCGGTTTATATTTAAGCATGAAAAAAGCTGTAAGCTAAAATCTTCATAGCAACAGCATACTTAGTGGCATGGCTTTTAGTTTCATGCTTGGTACTTTTTTTTTACTCTGATGGATGTTGCATCTTTCTGTAAAAAACAGAATCAGCTTTATTTATACAAATACAACTAATTTGACCTTGGATTGTGCAATGTTCACTTATACAATTGTATGATAATACAGTAATAATGATTAAACTACAGAATTCAGAGCATATACATACTATAAACAAATGGGGCGGATTAAAACAATAAAGTAATAGGTCAACAAGCATAGAGCAAAGTATGCAGAATTAAATGATCAAATAATAAACAAATAACTGAGTTAACAAAAGCTGAATATAGGTAGAGTTACTGGGCAGTTGCACAAGGGTTCTATCTGCCACAGTGAGTCAAAGTCAGCTGGTCTTTAGACTGATGGCTTGTGGGAAATAGAAAAAACTTTTCCTGAATCAAGCGGTGTTTGCGTACCGAGCCCTACAGCGCCTTCAAGAGGGAAGAAGATTGAAAAGGTTTTGACCTTGGTGAGATGCTCTGTATTGATTTTAAGTGTTTTAACAGATGAATTGTTCTGCAGCCCTGTTATCGTTGACAGACAGTGATAAATGGCTGTTTAGAACTGGATCAGCTGCTGAAATGCTTGGAAGGTTTGTCAAATAATACCTAGTTCGGTAATAAATATAGAAATTCACACTGTTTTAAATGTAATGTTCTGAACACCAAATGTAATAAAACGGCCTCTTTGAGATGCTGTTCATCCAGACCACCTGCAGTCTCACTTAGGTCTCCTTTTGCAGGCATGGGCGTAGGTTTGCATAGGGACCATAGGGACATACCAAAATTTTGGACCAACCTTCTTGTCCCTACCAACAATTAAATGTGAATAGCATGTTTATAATTTACAATACAGCTTTGTTGCAGCAGTAGAGGAGCTCTGGATGGAGAATATTGACAGACGAAAACATGTTTAATCTAAAATGGAAAATCTTTATACATTTTTTTTTTTTACAATTTTGGTATAATTCTTGCTCTATGTTGGTCGCTCTATGAGCTAAAGATGTCTTTTAGAGTCTCGATACTCCATAATGATTAATCGATTACTAAATTTGTTGACATTATTTCAACAATTGATTAATCCAATGAATTGTTTCAGCCCTAAATAAAATACATGAAATGGGTTAAACAGAGTAACTACAGCCTAGATGTAGAACTTGTAGAGTGAAGTTAATATATTAAATGCTCAGTGTCAGTTCCTCTTCTAGTTCCAGTGCTCATGTAAATACAATACATTTATTTAGCGTCCCTTCAATCTATTATTTCGCTGTTTTAATGATACAAAGAGAAAATTTAAAAGATAAAATGCGGTTTTACCTCTGTTTACCTCTGCACAATTCTATATCTTCAAAATAAAAACAAGATAAATCCACATATAACAGACATATTTAGACTATATTCTGTTAAATAGGCACAGATTTACCTACTGTCTTAGTCGCTGGTAATTTCAAATGCAAATCTTTTCAAAGTGGAAAAATAAAATCCTAATTTCTCATTCATCAGAGCCAGTTAAAATTCAGTCATTGATAAACAGCATCTAATGTGTGTAGTGCTTATAAAATTTGTATAAATGTAGCAAGAAATTCTGCTTTTCACCCTGATTTTCACGTCAAGCATTAAAAAAACAAGCATGCATATTTTTTATATAGGACCAATGACATCAGACCAACGACATCAGACCAACCGTGTCCCTACCAAAGTTGAAATCAAACCTTCCCCCCTCTTTTGCAGGTCAGAGGTATCATGTTACCTCTCAGATCCTCTTCCAAGTTGATCTCATGGAAGCAAAATTTTGTCTAAATTTGCTGAATATATTCACTGATGTTTAGAACGAATTGTTTTTTCCCCCTTTACCTGTTAGAAGTAAATATATATTGTAAGTACACTGGGCACGTATATATATAAATTTGCATGTTGCAGCTGAAACTGTTATACTTAAGGGACACATTGTGTTCCTGCTCTTTTACTAGGGCATGGCAGTATTAGCTACTAATCTGTGCTGATAAAGATTCTCAGTCATCCAGGTCATTGTCATTACGTAAAAGTTTAAAAAACAATCCTCTGGACTTCGTTTCCAAGATTTGAAGACGTTTCGCTTCCTCTCCAGGAAGCTTTCTCACATTCAAATGTCTGGATCCGCAGTGAGTTTGAGTCTTTATATAGACAAGGCCTTGTATTGCTTGGAAACATGCAAATTGAAACCGACGAGCGGGTCGTTTGGTTCCATTGTTAGCCTGTAATATCTGAAAGCTGTCTATGATTCTGAAGGTCGATCGTTGAAGGGGGGGATTGTCTCCTGTAATACATGAAACCTGTCTATGATTGTTAATTGTCGGTCGTCAAGGAAGTATTGTTCACCTCGCTGAAGAGAGGAGATACTTTCCTCCCCTGTAATGGGGTGGGGGGGTGGTGATACCTGGAAGGGATCATCTCTATAACTGAATTGTGCGTTTTTAGAAGCTGGAATCTGAGTCCACCACCTCTGTTTAAAGTTGTTTTTTCTGTCTTAACATAGATGGCTTCCTCCACGCCCCTCTCAAACCACCTATTTTCTTTATCCAGAATATGGACATTCTGGTCCTCAAAAGAATGTCCTTTGTCCACAAGGTGTAGATGTACTGCGGAGTCTTGTCCAGAGGCGGGCGCTCTTCTGTGTTGGGCCATGCGTCTGTGGGGAGGTTGTTTGGTTTCTCCAATATAAAGATCAGAGCATTCCTCGCTGCACTGAACAGCATGTACCACTCCGCTCATATTCGGTCTGGGGGTTTTATCTTTAGGATGCACTAGTCTCTGTTTAAGGGTTTTGTTTGGCTTGAAATGTACTGGGATTTTTTGTTTGGAGAAAAAATCTCTTGAGTTTTTCAGAGACTCCAGCAACATAAGGGATTGTGATGTTTTTGCGTTTAATTTTCTCACCGCTATCTTCTGTTGCGTGTCTTTTGCAAGGAAATCCAAAAAAGTTCTCAAAAACATGAGCTCTACTGATGCTGTTGATTGTAATAAATCATTATTTAAACCACTGTTACCTCTACCGTCTCACAACCTCACAGTTTTGGGTCCAGGAACACAAAACTACTTATTAAAAAAAAAAATCTTTTTCTGTAAAGTTGAGAGCTTTTTGGTATTTTAGAAACTCAAGCAGATTTTGAAATACAGAGACCAATTTATGACACCATTAATTAAGGTTGAAGTCATATAAATCCCTTTTATCTTCTTATCTCACGTCATGTTTAAAGTTAAACAATCTGTCTTTGCTACGTCTAGATGCTTAAATGCACTGTTCCTGCTATAACAATGGCTGAATCACTAACAGGAAATTGAACAGACGTACCTAATAAAGCAGTTAATGAGTATAAAAGTAAACAGTTTGAGCTCTTTGCACAATCAACCCATGTTATTCATTGCTATTCAATCTATACACTCCTACCTTTTATCAAAATAGTATATATTCCTTTTTTAATATCTGACAATAAATATATCTAAACAAATATGATTTACTTAAATGATAAAATAATGAAAAAATACACCATTTTTGAGGTTAGATAGAGCATGACCACTTAAAAAAAATCTCTTAAATCTGTTTGATTTCTTTACATTATTGTCTTTTCAGTTTGTATCTTTTTAATTGTTAAAGTAGAAAAAAAAAAAATAAATAAAAAGTCAAAGAAAATTAAGAAGCAGCCAAATTGGTAAGGAGAGTTTATAATTTTATTTGACATGTTTTCACTTTACTCATATTTCCCCAGTCTCTTCCATATGATCTTTCTTCTAATCTAATATCTTTATGTTGTGAATTTCTTCTATCATTTTTCTCCATCTATCTTGTGTTGGTATATGTATTTAAAGCCAATATCTAGCATTGTTTTTTTAGGCAGCAGCATAGAAGATTTTGGTTAATTCTTGTTCTTCTTTAAATACCTTTCCTTGTAGATGTGTCACTTGGCTGTTAATTGAATCATGTGTTCCAGGACCTTACAGAAAAATATGTTTTATATTTATATTCAGAATGGTTGAATTTTTCTGCAATTCCATAATATCGATCAGCTTTTACTGTCCAATATGGCTGTCCATTGTTTATATATTAACTTTTACCTTTGGGTGTTATTGTCAAATTTGTAGAAGGACGCAATATATAGAGGCTGGTTTTTGCAGATTTATTGAGGTGATGGGAGCAGATGCATAAATCCAGTGGTAAATAAACAAGGAAAACAGGAACCAGAGCAGAGGACAGAGGAAGAGAATGGAAATAACTTAAAATACGATGGATAAAGATAAACTTAAGATAAACAAAATTTGAACTAAGATATAATTTAGAACCAGATTAAACTTAACAGCAAACAGAGAAAGACAAAAATCCCAAACTAAGACCATAAATGTAGCAAACATCCAAACAGAGCAACTAGATAATAAGACTCTAAGCAGGAAAAATGGTAACACATAACATAAATCTAAGAGTAACTGAAAACCTAAAGTAAAAACTTGAACAGAATCAAAGATCCAAAGCAGTAATGACTCTAAAGAATCATATTTGGTTCTTCTAAGAAATTTCCTCCATCTATACAAGTTGGTTTGATTAAAGGTATAGTGGAGGGTGTTCTTTTTCCAGGTGGATCATCAAAATAAGTGGTGCCATTCCTAATTGTCAATCATTCTGGTGATATATTTAGGTAAGGCCGTCCT